CCAGATCCAAACTATTATAGGAATTATGAATACCTAGCATTCATTTATATCATACTTGAACTTATAACATGGCTTTTTTTCCTCAAAAAATTTTTTTCCCAAATGAATTTTTTTGTTTATTTTTTTTAATTTCTGATTTTAGAAAGTCCACCATCTAGTTACTGTAATAAGGTCCTTCCTATCTTCTGGGCCACATGTAGCCTGTTTATTAAGCTTTATAGATTCCTGGCCACCATTTTGTTTCTGTGTTCCCATCACACGTTAAGCTAGTTAAGTCATTCTAGAATCATGTTTTCAGGGATAGAAGTGAAAGCTATTTTGGGGAAAACCATAAATTTGGGGATTAAGTTTGTTTTTCTTTTATTTATATGGGGCAGACTTTAATAATAAATGTAGTAAATGATATAAACCCAAAGATTTTCTTACTTGGAAGTTTTACTTCTGTTAATATAGCTTTTGTTTTCATTTATAGAATTCACATTTTCTGCTTCTTTCTCAGTGATAGATACAGTGTGTATGTAAATCTAAAGCATTAATCATCATGATGAGTTCACTGTATACCAAAGATAATGCTCTTTAGTCTCCAGCACCTCAGGTTACAGAGTCTGTCCCCACAGAAAGTCCAGCATCTTGTGCTATTAGAGGTCTGGGAACCAAGGATCAGGTTGAGTGGTCATTGGAACAGCTCACAATAAACCCCTTCAGGAAGGACAAATTAAGTGTTTCAGTGAATCTTTCTCTATGAGATAAACTCATTGTCACTGTTCAAGCCCATGGAATTTATGAATTTTAATGATTTATGAAATACAGCTTTTATATTTAGGAGATTTAGCAATTGAGCAGTTATCAGTTCAACTCATCATTGCCTTAAGATTCAGTCATCTGTGTGAAATGGATGGTATGTCTCTTTTATGGGTAATATATGACATATTTAATCCAGATAAGATTTTAATATTGCTAGAAGAAAAAGTATTTAAATTTTTTTTTTCAATTCACAAATGATTCAGTAGAGAACTTCTGGCTTTAATGTCCTTATTGTGGAATAAAACCATGTCCTTTGGTCTTCCTGCAGTTTTTTTTTTTGGCATGATTGCTAATATAGCCCTTTGTTCCCAAATATTAGGTTGATAGTCACTGTGCTGTATGACCTGTATCACTGTCGAAGCAGGATTGAGCCTTATAAGAAGATACAGTTTTGAAATGTCTTTACCACCTGTAGTTATTAGAGCTCAACAAACATAGTTATAAAGCAGATGATGCCTTCTTAAAACACGCATATTCTAGCACCGAAGTTCGGCCTATCTGGTTTTTACTTTTATTTTCAAGTTTCATGATAATATATCTTAGATTACTATAGACTTAAATATAAAATACTCCTAATAAGAGCCGGGCAGTGGTGGCACACGCCTTTAATCCCAGCACTTGGGAGGCAGAGCCAGGCAGATCTCTGTGAGTTCGAGGCCAGCCTGGTCTACAGAGCGAGATCCAGGACAGGCACCAAAACTACACAGAGAAACCCTGTCTCGAAAAAAACCCAAAAAAACCAACCAACCAAACAAACAAAAAACAAAAAAACCCCAAACAACAACAAAAAACTCCTAATAAATACAGTTTCTAAACAAAACATCCTGTTTTATGGGAGTTCTTTGCCATACTTTCTCTTGGCTTTTTTCGGCCTCCTTTGGCTGTATAATCATTGACTCCATAGAATAGAGGATGGAAATGCATGTGTTCTAATTTGCTTCTCTGTTGCTGACCAAAAGCAACTTGAGGAGGAAAAGGATTACTTGGCATACATACACTTTAGGTCGCCATCAGTCCATCCCAGAAGGCCAGAGTAGGATCTCAGGAGGAACTGAGAGCATGGAGGAATGCTCCTTGCTGGCTTGCTCTCTCTGATTGGCTAAGCTACCTTCTTATTCAACTCAGGACCACCTCCCTGGTAGGACCATCTGTCCCACATCAATCATTAATTAAGAAAATACCTCTGCGGGGATGCCCACAGACCAATCAAAAGGAGCCAGTTCCTCCACTGAGTCTGTCTTCCCAGGTGACTCTAGTTTGTGTCAAGTTGACAAGACTAGCCGGTGCAGCTCTTCTTATCTGAGGTACTCTGAGATAGCCTAGAACAAGGCTTGCTGTCCTTATAAAAATTTTGTGGGGCAGGCAAATGTTTTACGTGGTGCATTTTTTAAATCTTTATTTGAGAAGACTATATTTCTATAAAGTAAAATGTCTAACATTAATTTTGTATTTTATTAACTTGTTTATTATCTAAAGACTTGATCCTGTAAACTTTCGATTGCCACTAAATTTGTTAGGGAAAAAAATAGAACACAGGACCCCAAGAAAGACACGGGGATTGCCCAATGACAGAGAAATGGAATGAGATCTACATGAACAGCCTGAACATGAGTGGGGGTAGTGAAAGGTGAGGGTCGAGGGAAAGAGAGCTTGGGGGAGCAGGAGATCCCAGCTGGATCAACAACAGAGAGGGAGAACAAGGAATAGGAGACCATGGTAAATGAAGACCACATGAGAATAGGAAGAAGCAAAGTGCTAGAGAGGCCCACAGAAATCCACAAAGATACCCACACAACAGACTGCTGGCAATGGTCGAGAGACAGCCCGAACTGACCTACTTTGGTGATGGGATGGCCAAATACCCTAATTGTCGTGCTAGAAACCTCATCCAACTACTGAGGGATCTGGATGCAGAGATCCATGACTAGGCCCTGGGTGAATCTCTGCGAGTCCAATTAGCGAGAATGAGGAGGGTTTATATGAGCGAGAATTGTTGAGACCAAGGTTGGATAAAGCACAGGGACAAATAGCCAAATGAATGGAAACACATGAACTATGAACCAATGGCTGAGGGGTCCCCACTGGATCAGGCCCTCTGAATGGGTGAGACAGTTGATTGGCTTGATCTGTTTGGGAGGCATCCAGGCAGTGGGACCGGGTCCTGTGCTCATTGCATGAGTTGGCTGTTTGAAACCTGGGGCCTATGCAGGATTGCTTGGCTCGGCCTGGGAGGAGGGGACTGGACCTACCTGGACTGAGTCTGCCAGGTTGATCTCAGTCTGTGGGGAAGGCTTTGCCCTGGAGGAGATGGGAATGGGGGGGGGGAGGTGGGGGGAAGGTGAGTGGGATGGGAGGGGGGAGAACAAGGGAATCCGTGGCTGATATGTAGAACTGAATTGTATTGCAAAATAAAAAAAAAAAAAAGAGCAGTGTTAATGTTATAAGATAAATATTTATGTGTGTTAATAAAAATCTTTAGTGGCTATTAGGCCATATTCAGTGAAAACAGTAATTGTGTAATCTGGTCTTTTCAATGTAATATTCCAAGCAAGGTGCAATGGCACAGGACTATAATCTCAGCACTTGGAGGTGGGGACTGAAGGGTTAGAGGTTCATCGTCATCATTGCTTACCTAGAGTCTGAGGGTAGTCTAGGTTAGATGAAATGTTATGTCAAAAAATAGAGAGCAAAACAAACAAACAAACAAAAATAAAGTTACAGAGTGACTTTCGGGAGAGGATACTTGCTAGCAAATGAAGGAAATTTGAGAATAAGAATAAATACTGAGCTGCTTATCATGATGCTGTGTATAGCATTCTGTGACTGTAACTAAACACTGCTAAACACTTTATTTTTAGGGTTTTACATTTCCTTCTGGCTGTATCCCTGAACATCTATGAGTCTCATGCTTTTCCTCTTGGTAGAGCTCTAGGAAAGCCACATACAGTTTTAACAGCTTTCATTCTTGTCTGAATATTGAACTGAACTTACTTTTGTCTTTATTTTCTTCTTTGTATTTCTCTTATTGTAGGATTTTATTAAGCAGGAAAATAGATTTTCTTTCCACGTATGGAAAAAGGAATAATGCTTAAGACACTGAAGGGGTGGCAGAGCTTAGCCTCTCAGTTCCTTTTTGAAGGCAGTCCCACTAAAGTTATTATCTCCATCACCAGGCCTCCAGTGTTTTCTTGTGGAGGAGAGAAAGAGCCAGACTAAGTGAGGCTTCAAAGGCAAAGGTCCCTGGGCCCTCACACAGATTGCAGTTGATGTGTAATGCATCCTTACTGCACAGCAGACGTGTGTGTGTGCTCTATGATTTAATCTCAAAAGTCAAAGCGTGTGGAAGAGGAAGTTGTTTGTGACCAGTGGAAACAAGTTCCTCTTGGTCTTTCACAGCAGGTGAGCAGTAGCAGGTGAGTCTCTGCCCTGCTCTGACTGCCCTGTTCTTGACTGCTCCAGTTTGTGGACTTGGAAAAGTGGAATCAATAACTTGAAGAACTTTTGTTCAGAAGCACCCTCTGACATCTGCTTGCCATGAGTTCAATCCTTGCTCATGCTCATGTTAACTTCATAGCTGGAAGGATGACCAGGGCCTATTATTTTTTAAGGACAGCTTTTTAATTAGGACAGTAAAGGAGTTGAGATGGATTATTTTAGTTTCAAAATTATTAACCTCTTTTTGTAATTGAAGAGATTTTTAAAGAAAAACTTGTTCAATCAGTTCAATGTACTGGCTAGGGCAGTAGTCTATGAACTGGACAGTAAGATTGCCTTGCAAAAAAGGAACCACTTTTTTCTTATTAATTACAGTAGGACATCATTTATATTTCTGTTCTTCATGGGAAAGTTGGCTTAAATATTAGTTCAGCTAATTGTCAGTCATGTGAACAGCCAATTATGAGAATGAAGGTTTTCAACAACTTATTCATGAGGGTTTGATCCTCAGGAGTGAACAAAAACACATTGTTTTAAAATTCTTTATCCTTTTAGGGAAATGCTTAACAGTTTGGAAAGATGTTTAGGTAAAATGCAGTTATGAATTAAGGAACTCGCCTGAATTTAAATATTTCAGAGAAATGATACCTGTCCTAAGGAAGAAAGGGTTTGTATAGAGTTAAGTGTCTTATGTTTGTTAAATTGTGATTTCTTATCTTATCAATTAATAATTTTCTCCATGTTCCATAATTACTTTTCAGTGTATTTTGGGATCTCTACTGTGCAGCTCCAGAGAGACGGGAAACATGTGAACACTCCAGCGAAGCAAAAGCCTTCCATGATTAT